GGGGCGCCGGGAGTGCGGGGGCCGCCCGCCAGGAACGCGGGGGGCGACTCCTTGGCGCTGGGGAAGGGCTCCCCGAGCTCCCGGGTGGGGCTTTCCTGGAAGGTCAGAGCAGCACGTGGCCCGGGTCGCCAGCGGCTCCCACGGCTCCCCATCCCCTGGGGGACCCACACCCCCCGCGCAGAGCCCGGAGCGGCCGCCCACCTGGTCGAAGAGGTAGACGGTGACGTCGTCGAAGAAGGACACGGCTTTCTTCTTGCGCTCCAGGTCCTCGCAGAAGGCCTCAGACAACAGGCTGGGCATCTTGAGCAGGCTGCGCAGGTTGCGCGCGCTCTGGCTCTCGGCCACCACCACGGGCACCGGGGGCGCCTCCTCCTCGCTCTCCTCGCTGGGCTCCTGGATGCTGTAGCAGCGCAGCTCCTCATCCGACTCGTCGCTGTCCTCGCTGTCCTCCTCCTCCTCCTCCGCCCGGCCCTCCGGGTCTGCGGGCAGTCCCGGCGAGGCCAGGCAGAGTGGGGTTCTGGGGGCGCCGGGGCCCCCCGTCTGATCCTGCTGGGCTGGCCCAGAAAGCAGTCCTGGGGCCTCCTGGAGGTCCGGGCGGTGGCTCTCTGAGCTCAGTGGGACTGGGGTCAGCAGGAAAACCTTGGAGCGCTGGGGGCTGGGCCCTGGAGGCCCTTGCGCAGGGCCTTGGGGCCAGGGAGGCTCCAGTCTAGGGCTCTCTGGGCAGGTGCTGCTGGGCTCTGGAGAAGAGTTGTCTGGCGGCGGCAAGAGCAGCGGGGGCACCTCCCTGGGGCCAGTGCCCTGTGCCCCCCCGGGAACCCCAGACTCAGGGGAGGGCTGTGCGGACTGCAGCCCAGGGCTCTCCAGGTCCAGCTCTAGCCTGCGGGCCAGGGCACATCCTCCCTTCTCCTGGGTGCCCGAGGTGGACTCGGGCTCCGTATCGAGGTCGGAAAAGTAGGCTGAGTCACGGTAGGGGTTTTTCTCGCCAAGGCTTCCAAGGGAGGTGGAGAGCTGAGTCTCGGGCCCGGGGCTCTCACCCTCAGAGACCAGCTCCCCAAAGGCCTCGGGCTCACAGGGCTCATGTGCTTCCTTGAGCACAAACTCAGGGGACTCGTAGTTCTCCGTGTCATAGCCACTGTCCAGGGCTCGGGGCTGCCCGCCAGGAGTGCCAGTAACTGACGGGCTGAAGACCTCACAGCCACCACCATCGCTGGCGGAAGGTGGGATATCCAGGGAGTCCACGGAGTCGGGGGTCCCCACCTGCTTCTGCAGGGAGCGGAAGGCCGGCGTCACGTCCGGCTTCTCCGCTGGAGGGCCATCACTGGACAAATTGCCAGGAGTGGCCTCTGTCATGTCCTTGCCCTCACTGACTGGCTCTTCCAGCTCAGGGGAACCAGTGCAGCTGTCCAGGCCCTGGGCTACCTCAGAGGCAGCCTCCCAGCCGCCAGCAGGCACGGGCAAGGCAGGCAGGGCGGCGAGGCCACTGGCCTCCTCGGCAGGAAGCAGGGCTCCCTCTTGGGACGGGGCTGGGATGGAGGGAAGGGGCCGTTGAGGTCTGGCAGAGCCCTCAGCCTCCTCAGCAAGCCTGGGCTCTGTCTGGGGGCTGTCACCCCAGCTTATGGCCGCCTGTGTCCGGGAGGATGGCACCAGGCAAGTGGCAGGTGCCAGGCCCCCAGCAGGACACAGATGAGGGAGGCCCAGGCAACGGCCGAGCTCCTGGCCAGAGGAGGCCCCCTGTGGCCCAAGGAGAGGCTCTCTGGTGTCCTCCAGGGCCAGGGGACAGCCCAGCTCGGGGACGGCCTGTAGGGTGTGGTCTGTGCTGGGGCAGCAGCCCATGCAGCCACCCACATATCCCGGGTCCCAGGAACCTGGTGCCCGGCTGCCACTGTTGTTGTTAGTGGACACGTTAGAACTCCAGTGTCTGCGCTGGGCAGCCCTGCATTCCTCCGCCTCCCCCATCTCCTCCCCACCCGGGGACAGCTGGGCCCCAGAGCTCCCCGAGGGGGATGTGCCCAGCGGGTCCTCCAAGAAGGGTGGGCAGAAGGCAGCTGAGCCCCAGTCGCCGTCCTCCTCCCTGGGCTCCGCCGGCATGAGGGTCCCCCGTGAGGGAGAGCTCAGGGTGCGGGGCGGGCCCCAGGCATGGCTCCCGTGCAGGTAGTAGTCACAGTGGCCCCAGGGCCCCCCAGGGGGCGGCTCCACGGCCAATGAGGCGTCCGCGCTGCCCTCAGAGTCGTCCTGGTCAGCGCCATTGGGGAGCAGGTCCACGGCGTGGGGGCCGGGGGTGCAGCCGGCGCAGTCAGGATCGTGGCCAGCGGCGGGTGTGGGCTCCTCCAGCCGGATGAAATACTCGCTACCCACCGAGGGGCTGTGCGCGCTGAGCACGGGCACCACGCCCGGGGGCGCGCCGTCGGGGGCGCAGAGCTCCTGCGGGCGCGCGGCGCGGCTGGGGCTCGCTGCGCCCCCTGGCGGCGGGAAGGCCTCGGCCCCGCGGCCCGCTTCCCACTTGTACTCGAAGTTGAGGCCGCGGCTCGTCTCCGTCACCGTCAGCACGTCATCCCCGTCCGCATGGAAGCCGTCGCCCGCGAACTGCTCCAGCAGCGGGAAGGACGAGGCGGCCGCAAGCTCGCCCGCACCCCCCAGAGCCAGGCCTGCGAGCCCGGGGCCCGCGCCACCCCCACCCGGCCGCAGGGAGCGCCAGCGCCGCTCGAACTCTTCCTCGGCCTCAGTGGCGCCCTTGGCGCAGAGGTAGGACAAGAGCAGGTGCACCTCCTCGGCCGTGGGCCGCTGCTCAGGCTGCAGCCAACAGAACTGCATCACCTCGTACCTGCGGGAGGGAGGCCCTGGGCTCAGCCCAGCGGGCCCCGCCCACCCCCAGCCCCACCCCCCACCCCGGCGCGGCCCAGCCAGGACCCCAGTCCCCGGAGGGATGAGCAGACCGCCCTCCGCAGGAAGGGCTCGTCCCCTTCCACTCAGAGTCCCTTAAGGACAGGGAAGAGAACCTCCAACTTGTTATGGGAGACCCCAAATCTTCCAAGGTGGGCTCCGAGGTTTGGGAGCCCTCAGTGGGCGGAGCACCCTTCTCAGCTCATCTCCACCCCTGGCTGCAGGTGAGTTTGTGTTTGGGGTAAAGAGACCGCTTCCGCGGGGGACAACAGGATAGGTCCCAAAGGTCACTGCTGGCCAGAGGGGAGCCAGCGTGAGCCGGAAACCCAGGCGGTCAGACTCAGAGCACCCCCTTGGTCTTGCCCTTCCTGCTGGGGCCCCTGCACCCGGCCTGGCCTCACAGGTCCTCACCAGCGGTCGGACAGAGTCAGCTGCAGCTGGGGCTTGGGGAGCTTGAGCTGCTGCTCCCGGACGGCGTAGGCCAGCACCTGCCGGTCGGAGTGCTGGGGGTAGGGTTGTGCGCCCAGCTCAAAGAGCTCCCAGATGCTCACGCCCAGGGACCTGCCGAGGTGACAGCCATCAGGGGGGATCTCAGAGCCTCGGCCACCACAGGGCAGCTCCCGTCATCACACCGGCATCCTAGGGACGCCCCTCCCAAAGGACAGCCCCTTCCTTCCGTCAGCTGGCAGGACACGCCCCCCCGGCGAGGCCCAAGTCTGTGCCCGGGTCATCTAGGCAAATAAAAGCCACACAGGCCTTTCCACAAACCCAAGTCCATTCACTTGCTCACGTATTCACTCCGCAGCCACGGTGAAGGCCAGACACCGTAGCAGGGCTAACAGCTACCGGGGTGAAGCTCCCAGTCCTAGGGTACCGGTGGTGCCAAGGCCGTGAGGCTGAGGGAGGGTGGGCCCAGGGAATGGGCAGGGGCAGCCAGAGCATGCAGGGTTCCGTCCAGTGTGCTTCACCCAGCTCCCTGGGACCCCACCCAGGCTGTCCCGGGAGACCGGGAGCACGAGGAACAGATCAAATGTGGCAACAGACGAGTCAGGTGGCCTGGACCAGAGCCGTTTGGAGGACCCCCGTCAGCGTGCAGCAGGCCGGGCCAGTGGGGGAAGCGAGGGGATGGAGCGGTGATGGACTGTGGGTAAAGGCCTCGGGTGTGCTCAGGAAGGAGGGGGGTCCACGGATCCAGGCTCTGAGGGCTCACTGGGAGCAGAGGGACACCAGACGGGCCTGGGGAGCTGGGCAGCAGGTGGGGTGGGGAGGAGAGGCTAGTCAGGGACGGAGACCACCATGGCAGAGCCCCCGGAGGCTGAGTACTGGGTCTGAGTGCCCCCTCTGTGCCCTGCTTGGCTCTGGGTGCTCAGGATGGGGGGGCGCCTCCAGATTACGGTCACAGGAGCGCTCCAGCCCCCTGCGCAGAGAGCAGGTGCCACGCTGAGGCCCCACGTCTCATCCGGAGAGCCCGTTCCACTCCCAGCGGGCTTTCCAACCTGAACGTGTACTCGGACCCTGGCGACTTTGGGTGTCAGGGGATCCCGGGAGGGGCAGGCCCATGGGCCACTGGTACCAGGCAGCTGCAGGTGGCCCCAGCAGCCCCATGAACTCCCCCGGAGCCAGAAGTAACCACCTCCCACAGAGCAACGAGGCTGGACAGATAAGCGGGTCATCGCACAAGTAAGGCAGGTGGGGCTCGGGGCCTGCTGCCCGGCGGGCCTGCGGGCCCCGTGCCTTCGCCGGACATGCACGTGCATGTAGCCCAGCAGCCGCAAGGTCCGGCGGCACTGGACAACAACCAAGGCAAGGCCTGCGTGCGTGTCCCTGCAGCGCCCCTGGGGCCCTCACTCCCCTCCCGGCCCCCGCTCGCCGCCCGGCTCTCACTCACCACACGTTGCTGGCCTTGGTCTGGTCCACCACCAGCAGGTTGCAGTGCACCTCGTCCACCAGCTCGGGCGCGATCCAGCGCAGCGGCACCCACAGCTGGTCGGCCGTCACGAAGTAGTCCTCCTGCGGGCACAGGGGACAAGGCTACCACGGGCTGCCGGGCGCTGGCCCTGACCCCCAGCTCGGCCCCGCCGCCTTACCCTGTATTTGCCGTGGGACAGGCCGTAGTCGCCGATTTTCACTGTCAGGTCGGCTGTGAGCAGGCAGTTCCTCAGGGCCAGGTCACTGGAGGGCGGGAGGGTGGGGGTCAGTGGCAGGGCCAGGCTGGGGGCATCCGGGGCACAGAGGGGCTGGACCGCTTGTCGCCAAGGGCATTGTCACAAGTGGGCGGGAAGGGGCATCTGAGCGGCAGCCTGTCCGCCCGTGGCCCCAGGCCCTCGCCGGGCACCCGGTGCGCTGGAGGGCTCACGTGGACAGGGCCTCAAATGTCACAGTCCAGAAGAGGCCGGAGCGTGCCACGGGGCCCTCAGCGAAGGCACGGCCCTCCCATTGCTGGACCTCCCTCCTGACCTCAGCCGTTGCCCCTGCTTCTTTCCCACCAGCCCGCTAAGCCACCCCTCGGAGGCGAGCCAGCCAGGGACACTGCAGTCCTTCTTCCCGCCCACTATCCCCTCACCCTCAGCAGTGGGGACACTGAGATCCCAAGTCTCCCAGGGGATCCTGACCCTGTCCGGCTCACACAGGGCTGGGCCCCCCTCCTGTCCCAGGACAGGGTAGAGGCGGGGAGTGACGCCACCCCCACTGCAGGACAGTGGCTGGCCTTGGGCTGCGGGCCTCTCCCCTGCCTGCTCGGCGGCCACAGGGCTGTCTGGGGGCCCAGGGCACTACGGCAAACGTGGGGTCAGCGCACATCCGCCAGGGGCCGCGGACGGGCCTGTGCTCGGGGCTGGGTGGGCCCGGCGGGCAGGTCGGGAGGCTGGCAGCTGCCCTCTTCAACAAAATCACTGATGCTGGAGTTACATGTGTCATCACTCAGCACCAGGATGTTGTTGGGGAGGACGGCCCGTGCGGCGTCCGGGGGCACCAGGACGTGGCTGGGGAGGGCGGCCCGTGCGGCGTCCAGAGCTGGCGGGGCACCCTGGTCCATCTGGGCCAGGGTGGGAAGCAGGACAGAGCCAACCCGCCCCCGGGGGGGCCTACAGGACACAGAGGCGAGCAGGGGCCAGTGTGGGGCCACCGGGTGGCTCTGGCCGCCCCGGGGTCAGAGGATGGGCCTTGGGCCTGACGTCCTGCCGAAGCAGGTGTCCGCCGCACCCCCTCGCCCCCGTCTGTCTTCCATTTCAGCAGATGCCTTCGCACCGCGGTCCCTAAAGGCTGAATAAAGACGAACCCAGCGAACCCTCACACAACCCCCAAGGCTGGTGCTGTTTGTGCAGGGGCAGAGGCCGCAGAGAGCCAGCAGCCCCGCCCCGCCTCACCTGTGCACGTAGTTGTGACGATGCAGGTGCAGGACCCCACAGGCCAGCTCGCAGGCCATGCGCTGCAGGGTGAGGGGGTCGGGCGCCATGGACTCCGCCACCCGGCAGCTTCGCAGGTAGCCCTTGAGGTCCCCCTGCCAAGAGGGGCGGCATCATCACCGGCCGGCGGGGAGCAGGGACCCCGTAAGCCCGCCACCCCACCCCTCCCTCCCCACATAGGGCCTGCTCACAGCGGCCCCCCCACCCTGAGTCTGCCCCCCAGCACAACCCCACGGGCAGAGGGCGCTTTCTCTGCGGTCCCTGCAGACCACGTCCTGGGTACAGACCACCGGGCCCATGTGCCTGCCAAGCAGACAGGCCACATGAGCAGCGACGCCGAGCCTGGTGGGAGCACGGGGCAGAGGACCCGGCGGCCCGCTGGCGATCCCCGACCTGCTGACACCGCCCGGCTCCAGAAAGGGCCCAGCCGTCCTGGGGAAGCCCCAGGAGGTCACGGCAGCAGACAGTGGGGGCCCGGGGGGCATCTTGCAGGTGGTGTCATGCCCCCGGGAGTTAAACAGGCCACGTGAGGCCTAGGAGGCGGAGGTGAGCGGCTCACAGGAGAGCCTCTCTGCCCTGGACAGGCGGCTGGGCTGACCCTGGAGTGCAGCGGGGTCGCGGACGCAGCAGCTGAGATTACCGCGCAGGCCGCCTCGAGGAGGCGGCGGGGCGTGCCCCAGGTCCCACTGCGGGGGGAACGTAAGGGCCACAGGATGGGGACGAGGGCTCCCAGCTCAGCCGATCAGCCTAGTGGGGAGGCTGGGCCCTCCTGCTGAGCAGCCTGTGCCGGGGCGCGGCACTCACCATGGGGCAGAACTCCATCACCAGCAGGTGGGGCGTCGCCTCCGCACACTGCGCCAGGCACTGGATCAGGTTGCTGTGCTGCAGGGCCCTGAAGGAGCCAACAGGCGGCCCTCCTGACTGGGACTCAGGGCAGGAGGGGGCGGGCGGGCGGGGAGGGGGCTGGCTCTGCAGGGGTGGGGGAGGAGCAGGACAGCACAGAGCTTGCCTTTGTTCCCAGGGCCCCCCACGAGCCCGCCCAGGGGCCACCCACCTGTAGGGCTGCGCCTCCTCCAGGAACTGCGCCTGCTCCTGCACACTTGCACTGGCCTTCAGCTCCTTCACCACCACCTGCGTGCTACTGAGGCCCGAGTTCACCTCCCCCAGGAACACCTGTGGGGGCGGGCGCAGCCTCCATCCCTGCTCCTCCTCGCTAACCCCCGCCCAGCCCCGAACCTGGAAGCCTCGCTTTGCCCCTCTGCAAGAGGGGTTCCCCTCCCGGCCGTAACATTCTGTCTTGTGTGGTCATCCCGAGGCCCCCAGCTGTTCTCAGCTCTCTCTGGGGGTCTGCTGTGAGGAAGAGGGGACCCCCAGGCTGGGGATCAGGGAGAAGCCAGGGCGAAGACACTGTCCCCCAACCCAGCCCTCTCAGAGGTGCCTCCCAGCATCTGATCCCAGGGCCTGCACAGAAGGGACATCCCAGGAGGGGACAGCAGGAAACGGGACCCCAGGGCTGGGGCAGCCCCCAGGAGAAGCAGGTCTCCACCCTGCCCCTCTGCCTGCCAGGCAAGAGAGGGGGCCCGCGGTGTCAGCATCCCCCATCCCCCTACCCAGGGTCAGCAACTCACCTTCCCGAACCAGCCGTGGCCCACCTCCTCCAGGTACAAGAGGCTGTGCCGGCCCAGGTCTGTGGACCTGAGGAGCTGCACTGTAACAGGGCGGGGGGCTCAGGAACCCCAGGTCGGGCTGTCGCTGCCCCCATCTGCCCTTCCCGGGCCCCTCCAGAGGCTGCCCACTCAGCCTGTTCAGGGGAGCTGCCCTAAGCCCCCCAGAGTGGGGCCACGGCTGGGGACTACCATCAGGAGCCGGGTCCCTGTTGCCCCAGGGAGCCGTGGGCCTGCACGCCGCATCCGGGCATCTTTCTGGGTGGGTCTGGGAAGGCTGGTCCCTAAACTACAGGGACACGCCAGGCTGAAGACGACGGGGCCTGGAGCCAAGATCGGCGCACAAGGCAATGCCAGGCGGGCAGTGTGGCCGGGGCCAAGCCGGTGGGGAGGAGGGCACCCGAGCGGCCCGTCCCCTCACCCTTGCCACAGGCTGGCATTCCAGCACCAGGCTCACCAAAGGCTCCTTTGTCGGAGGCTGCTTGGCACAGCCCTGTACGGAACACACTGGGCCCATTCTCCTGCAGCCTGAGCTGGGTGAGGTCAGCAGGGAGGAAGGGTCAGCGAGGGCCCCGGAGGAAGGGCCAGGGCTGCCGAGCCCACTCACGCCCCGTGCCCCAGGGATTCCCCGAATTCTGCTCCCACGCCAACCGCCCTGAGGGCATAGGGGGACAGGGCTGGGCCTAGAACGCCAGGAGCACCCCAGGGATGGGGGGCTGGTCCCGGGGAATGTTGACCTTGACGCTGAGTGGTATTTAGGGGGGTCCCACTGGGCCCTGAGCCTCAGGGTTCCTCCCCCTGTACTATCCTCCACAGTCTCGAGGGGTGGCCCTTGTCACTCAGGTTTTTAACCCTTGACGTCCACGTGGGCTGTCCCCCCACATCACCTGAAATCTCTCCCCTCCCCAGAAACGGGGTACCCTACAGATCTGCGACATGAGCTACAGAAATGGAGAAAGCAAGCAGTTGCTGCTGTCTCCTGGCCCCGGATCCCCACCCTCAGGGACAGCCCCCTGAGGGGTGGGAGAAGCCTGGGTCCCGGACACTGCCTGTGGGCAACAGGCCCAGGCTGGGGGGGGACCAGTGTCCCCTGGGATGAGCCCCGGCTCCCCACTAGTGACCAGTGTCCAGGGTCGGCACAGGCCCAGAGACCCCCCACGGCCATCCAGGAAGGTCCCGGGGCCTCCTGCAGCAGCATGCCTCCCTTCAGGGGTTTAGGGGCTGTTTAGCTATGCACATGCCCTCGAGCCCCAGGCCCTGGCTCCTGCCTGACCGCTGATGTCCCCCCCAGGAGACACTGGCTGGACAGTGGGGGGTGACACCCTGGTGGCCCCGGGGGCTGCTCTGAGGACCCAGACCAGGGCCTTGATGACGTCCGGGCTTCCGAGTGGGCAGCATCCAGGTCATGGGCCTGAAGGTGTGGAACCGAGCAGGTGGGAAGGGCCTGCCCATCATCAGCACCACAGGTCTGGTGCCCCCTAAGCCCCCGCAGGGCCTGACGCCTTCCCTCGGTGCTGTGGGAGGGGCTGGGGGTCAGCACGGGCCTAGCCTAGGAGCTTCCAGGGAGAGGACCTGAGATTAGGCTGCCACGGAAGCCCCACCCCCACAGCGAGAGGTTCCCACAGCACCAGCCTCAGGAAGATGGGTTCAAAGGCCAGCCGGACACTGACCTCTACTCTCTCAAGCTTGGACCCACATCTGCCCTGCGGGTGGTCACCCTGGTTGGGGGCGGGCGGAGGGGGGAGAGCCCAGGATGGGGAACAAATGGGAGACAGGGCAAGGAAGCCATGGGAAGAGGCCCCTGCCTGCTCCCCAAGGCCCAAGTCAAAGGCCCATTCAGGGCCCTTCCCACAGAGGGGGCCCCAAGGAGCCCCTCCTCCCTGAGTAGGTGGGTCCCGCCCACTGGGCACAATGGAGCCCATGTCCCCGCGTAGCCGGCGCTGTGGGGGTTGTCTGGGGTCCGGAATCCAGGGACAGCAGAGGAGTCCCTTGTCCCTGGTGCTCGGACTGCCCCTTTGCACAGCAGCCCCTAGGTGGGGGAGGTGGCTGGCAGAAGGCTGACCCAAGCCTGTCCACAGTGCCCCTGCTCCCACCAGAAGGGGGCACCTCCCAGCCCTTGGCCGCCCTCTCCCTGGGAGCACTGACTGCTGAGTCCGGAGGCCAGGCCAGACCCTGAGTCACTCCTTGTGCTCACCGCCCGGGCCTCTCTGGGGGGTTCACTCACCTGAGCGCCCCGGCTGCTTGGCCATGGGCAGGGAGACCTCGGTGAGCGGCAGGACATACACGTCTGGCCTGTTCTGAGCCCCTGTCGCAGGGGAGCCCTGTGCCGAGAAGCCGGCGGCGTACTCGTCCCCCTCGGCATTCTCAAACTCCTGCAGCGGTAGGTGGGCGCCCGGCGGGCAGTTACTCCAGCGCTCCAGGGATTGGGGGGCAGGGCCGAGGGGTGCAGGCCCAGCTCAGAAAGGACCGAGCTCTCACCTCTTCTGGAGCTGGGGGTGGAGCGGGCTGGGAGCCTGACCCAGAGTTGGGGCACCTGCTAGCCGCCCCTTCCCCCCAACCTCTCACTGCTCAGGGCAGAGAACGCACCCCGCTCCCAGCCCCCTTCCCCCCAGAGGCACCAGCCGTCCGGAGGGCCAGAGAGCTGGCCTTTGTCCTGCGTTGATTGTAGGGGAGGGTGATCTTCCACCCAAAGGCATGGGGAGGGGGGCCTCAAGCGCGGGGGCACCTTGCCCAGCCCAGCCCACCCCCAACAGCAGGCAATGCTGGCCCACATGGGCAGGGGTGGGGCCCGAGGCAGGAGACCAAGAGGCCCATCCTGTCTGCCCCAACTCCTCTTTGCCACCCCTCCCCTCAACAGCCAGTGATCCCAACCTCAGAGTCAGGGCTGGGGAGCGGGAACAGGAGCTCCATCACCCACCCCCCAGCCTGCCCCTTCCAGACAAGGAGCATTCCTGAGTGCCCAGAACAAGGAGCCCTCCCCCGTCTCCAACCCTAGGCCAGGCACCCACAGCCCTCCACAGCCATCTGCCTGCAGGCTGCCCTGGACCTTGACCCAGGCGGGGTCTGCTCCCAGGGCTCCTTAAGAGCCTGGCCCTGCAGCCTGGGGCTGGGCCCTACCTGGCCGGACTGCTATTTTGAAATGCGGCTGGTGCACCTGTCTGTGGGGAAGACCCATCCCCCCAGGTCCAGAGCACACTCCAGAGGAGAGCCAAAGTCTCATAAATCCTCTCCTACTGAAACAAGAGCAGCTCCCATCCCTGGAGCCCACAAGCCCGCTGCCCAGGTGGGGAAACTGAGGCCCAGAGCCCTCCCCCTCATGTGGACAGATGGGTGGACCGGGAGCCAGGGGGCTTAGGTTTGTCCCTTGGCCCTGCGTGCCCCGGGGATGCTCCTTCCTCCCAGAAGCCCTCTGCTGGCATCCCTGTGGGCCAGTCCTGGTCCCTACCCAGAGAGGGGGAAGGGGACCAGTGCCTGCGATGCTTCCCCTCACCGGGGCCCGGAGCCCACCCTTGGGGCCCTGGGGTATCCGCAGCAGCTGCAGCTCCATCCGCTCCCATCAGACCCGGCCCTGGCCCCGGCCCATACCTGACGGTGCCACCTGGCAGCCCGCCGGATCGTGCCAGCAGAGCGGGCGATCAAGTAGGACAGCGTGAGCATCGCCGCCCGGACCCTTCACCCAGCAAGCTCCACGGGGGTGCCCAGCCCTGGGCCCCCAGAGACCAGGCCAAGCCCCTGGTGCAGGCAGGCCCGCCCACCCAGGCGCGCTGGGGCTGGAATGTTCTGGGCACCATGTTCTCCAGGAGGTGAGGAGGGCACGGGTAGGAGGGGCCGGGGCTGGCCTTTGTTTGGGGCCTTGTTCTCGCAGCGCCCTGAGGGGGGGCTGACCTATACCAGGTCCCCCACGCCCACCCCCATGACCTCGCAGCTCTGGCCCCAGGATCCTGCCGGGCGCGCCGCGGTGTGCCTGCAGGTCAGGAAGACAGCTTCCGCAGGGCAGGGCGCAGGGAACATGGGCAGGGGCACAGACCCCGCAGTCCCCAGGGCCACAGCCCTGCCATGGAGCCACTGAGGATCTGGGAGGGCAGCCTCTGCAGGCCCCCTCTGTGACACAGCGCTCCGGAGCAGAGGGGCTGTTTCTCTAAACTGGGAGTGACACGGCTGGGGCGTGGGCCACTTAGTATGGACGTTGATGGGGGCCACAGGACGGCCCGCCCCTCCTAAATTCACCAGGCCCGGGAATCTGCCCTCCAGCTGTGGCGGGGGGGGCGAGGGACGGGCATGGAATGACCACAGGCCAGCGCACTGTTTGCTAAGTCGGCAAGAACTCAGCCCACGTGGGCGGGGGGGGCGGTGGATGTTGCCTCTGGTCGGGGTTCTCAGCCGCCAACTTCTCCGCCTGGTCCTCCCCTCTCAGAGCTGCAACTGGACATTGGGGGGCAGCCCCCCAGGGATGCCCCTCAGCCACCATCCTCAGGAGGGGCCTCAGCCCTAGAATCCAGCCCAGGCCCCTTGGGAATGGAATCCGGGGCGGGGGCAGACTTAGTGAAGACAGTGCATTTAGCCGAAGCTCCGTCACCCCGGAAGTTCCTAGAACCGGCACACAGCCCCCTCCCTGTGGGGTAAAAGACGCCCAAAGGAAGGTGACTCCAGCAGGCAAGGTGGTTTTTTGTGTGGGGGCAGCATGTCTGGGCGGTTGCTGGTTCGAGTAATTGGGGGCACTTCTTCCACCAGGAAGTCAGGGGCCTCCGGGGAAGCGAGCTCCCTCCCACGCCGGCTCAGGAACCCCCGGGGCCCCCTGCAAGAAGGCCCATCCTCACTGTCCCGGAGTGCCCAAACTGTGCACAGCACTCAGAGGTCACGCCCACACAGAGAGGACCCAAAATGGGGGAGATAGTGGGTGGGGGTCCCTGAAAGCCTCCAAGCCCCTCCTGCTCGCAGTAGCCCCCAGGGGAGAGGCTGTGGGGTCCCAGGTCTATATGGTCTGCAGGTGACTCCAGGAGGGGGGAAGCTCAGCACTGAGTGGGCACAAGAGGGCCTGACTCTTGGGATCCCGTCCACATCCCCCTCGGACCCCCCAGCCCTCACCTTGAACCCGATGCCACCCTTCTTACAACACAGACAGGCCAACATGAGGGCGATGACAGTGAAGAGCCCGGAGAAGGACACGGCCACCACAGCCAGGGAGGACGACCAAGAGAGCTCGCTGAGGGGGGCGCCGTCTGCCAAGGAAGAGGGGGTTACAGGGCAGACTCCACAGACCTGCTCCCCCATGCTCACCCTGACCCAGCAGCTGCACCCAGGGGCCAGCCGAACCCCTGACTCCCCAGCCCACCCAGACTCACAGAGGCCTGAACCTCAGCACCCTGACCCCTTGCTCTGAGACCCGCCACATCTGCCACCCACGGCCTGGTCCCCAGGCTCAGAGCAGGTGGACCTGCAGAGCCGCCCCCGCAGCCCTAGCCTGCAGTTCCCAGAATGGCCACTGGGCGCCGCTCTGGCCTCACTCAGAGGATACGGGGTTGGCAAAGCGGCGGAGCCTCCCCAGGTCCCAATTCTGGGGCTCACAGACACCCCTCCATGACGTCAGGGTCTCGGGGCCATGGGAAATTGCCCTCCACGTCTCTTCTAGACTCTGGTCACCCCGCCTCCCCAGGGGCGGTCACCTTGCCAAAGCTCTGAGTGCGGTAAACCCTGCAAGAACCCCAAGGGGCCAGGAGGAAGACTGGGCCCCGCTGAGTGGGGGAGATGTCGGGGCTGGCCGCATGCCAGGCTCTGTGTGACCGGGGCTCAGCGCCCTGAGACAGGAGGGTTGTCTGGTCCCTGAGGCCACAGGGATCCCACTGTCCCCAAGAAGGGGGCACCACACTGGCTGGGCACAGAGTTCCTGCATGCAGCCTGGCACGTCCAAGTTACCCTCCTGCTGAAGTGACCACCAAGGGCCCCCCTGATGCTGTTTCTGTCCTGGGAACAGCGGGGACTCCCCCTCCTGCAGCACCAGGTCCACAAGAGCCCCCGCACAGCTGACCCTCACCAAATGCGGGAACAGAGGAGCCCGGACAGCATGACAGGCTCCCCGACGCGTAAGGATGGCCCCCGAATTAGGGCTCTGGGCCGCCCCCACCCCCCAGCTGAGCCAGGGCTTCGGGGAGCCCGGCTCGTCTGCTGCTCACCAGATAGCCCAGGTGTAGACAGAGGCAGGCCAGCCCCTCCTGTCCTGTCACGCTGGCTGAAGTGCACGCCCTGCCCCAGAGACCTCTGTCTGTCCATCCTCCGTGTGGCCCCTGGAGGTTTTCTGCCTTCCCACCAAGCACCCCCATAGCTGACCCCTCAAGACCCCGCCACCCAACCCAGCACACCTGCCATGCCAGGCCCATCAGTTCAGGTCAGACCTGGTCTCAGCGAGACCTCATGGGGTCCTAACTGGCCACTGAGGTGACCCCCCAGGCCTGTCCCTGCTGGACAGGAAGAAATGAAGGCTCAGCGAGAGCGAGGAGCCTGCCTAAGGTGGCACAGCTGACCCCTGACTGATGTGCTTCTGCTCCCGGGCCTTCTGCACGCACACAAGAAGCCAGGGCTGCAAGCTAAGCTATCTGGGAGGGCTGCCTGGAGGCAGTGTGAGCCTGAGGGCCTAGAAAGATGGCAAGCACAACCTAGACTCCTGCTCAGGTCTCCAAGCCCGTTCCCTACACCCACACACAGGGAAGAGGGGCCCAGGTAGTTGGGGCCGGGCAGGGCTGGGGGGCAAGGAGGACAGGGTCACCGTGGCAAGGGAAACCAGCTCAGCCTGCCCCAGGGGGAGACCCGCATGGAGGGCAGCCACAGGCCATGTCCCCGTGCCCAGAGGGGCCCAAGGCAGATACCCTCACAGGGCCTCTGAAGGCCACCTGGGGTGTGGGTGTGTGGAGGTCCCTCACTGGGCTCCCACACCGCACAGCACACAGCCCACAGGTGGCGGCCCACTGCGAGTCCGCCCAGGGCCGAAGAGCCCCAGCTCCCCGCACCCCAGGAAGCAGCCAGTGCTCAGGGATGCAGCCCTGCCACAGGGATCCATCGGGGGTGCAGCACACGCCCCTCCCACTGCCTCCACTGCACACAGGCTCCTGCACTCCCTCCCCTGGCAGGTTCTGGAGCCTGGGGCCGGTCTTCTGGCCCACTGGGCCCTTGAGGATGGCAGCAGGCACCATGGTCCAACACCGCCTAGCCCTCAGGGCTACGCAGACTGCTGCTGGGCAGGACTACCTCAGGAGGCCCAGCCTCAGCCTCCACTCTCGGTCTCTGCCCTTGGCCTCCAGCCTCAGCCTCCACCCTC